ATTTAATCGTGTAAAACATCATTTTTTCGGAGTGTAATTGAATGAGGTAGTACTAGGGGCAGTAAATACTTGGTAGGATCGTAGCTCGTTACTCTTTACCTGATTAGTCGTCGAGACACGAGGTGATGGTTGGTGGGAGGGGTAGGGGAAGGAGGGAGGGGGGGGGGGGGGGCACACACGCCAAATGACACGAATAACGAGAGCCTGTGTGTGCATATAGAGTCGTTGAGCGTGGGGAGGGAAAGGAGGACGGGCCGATTACTATAGGACTAGACTACTTTCGCGTGGGTGCGGGATCAGATTCGAGTTGCGGTTCTCGTCTGCTCAAAATACCCCTTCCATCATCTCTATGTCAGTTATTCGGTGGATATAACCGCCTTCGCAACCGTTGTCTTCGGAGTATTACATTTTCAGTATCCCAGATTCGGTGAATTTTGCGAAATTGATGAGCTAGAAGGCAGGCAACATTGGAGCGACTAGCATATTTTAGATAATCCGATCTTTAAGGCTACGTTGCAGTATGAGTTTTCAAGGGAAATTCGATCCGTTATAGCCAGAAACCTTATTTTCACGTTTCGTCGTCTACGGTAGAGTATGAGTATACGTAAACGAGTATCGCCGAGTAGCTGCCTACGTTATATTCAAACAACATTATCTCCAATTGTTCCTATACTTTGATTAATACTACGATCATTAATTTAAAATAAATATTGAATATTTGAGCTTGAATAAAGATTTATCATTGCATCAAAATTTTACTCTGACACTTTTCAAGAAACAATATTATTGTGAGTAAATTTGAGGTAAGGAAAATCATTGAAAAAACAAGGTAAACCGATGTTATTAAACGCTAGAATTATGAAGTGTTTGGACCATATCGTTAATCTTATCGGGGATCTAATAATAAACGACCTTTCACGATAATTTTACGAATTAATTAAAGAGTATCGAGCCGGCCGAGCTCGAATAAATTCGTGTAAAGTATAGAATTATTATGCAATGTCATCATTATAGCATTTCGCATGATAAAGAATTAAAAGTAAGTCAATTTCTGAAAAAAATGAGAGAAAGAGCGCATTGGATGTCCTATTTTTGGTTGTATCATTGAGCATAACAAAGCGGAGTCTCATCATTGCCGAGAGCATACGTACAAATGAAAGAGCAAAAAAAAAACAAAAAAAAAAACAAAAAAAAAACAAAAAAAAAAGAGAAGAAAAAAGTATAACGATCGATCACGAGGACGCGAAAAGTTCTCGATAATGAAGTCCCTTTAAAGGCAAAAACAACGTTGTCTCGCTCTCTCTCTCTCTCTCTCTCTCTCTCTCTCTCTCTCTCTCTCTCTCTCTCTCTCTCACTGTCTGTGTATCCCGGACGAGCGAAATGCAAGCCAAATGTAATGATATTGCACGGGAAGAAAGGAGAGAGACGGGAGGGGGCAGAAAAAGGACGGCGCATTAGCGAGACAAGTGTGCCGTGATGTGCGGAACGATGGCAAGGTGAGATGGATGTTCGGTAGTGTCGCGAGTGGTGTATCGCAGCTGAGATTTCGCAAATGCTCACGTTTCTCGTGCACGAGACGCGTCTGCCGCAATCCGAGCGACGAGTAGCTCCGGCATGAGATCATCGACTCGGAAAAGCGAGGAGAGGAAAATGGAAGCCAAGAGCCTGGCGCCTCGTGACGCTTCTCGCTCGCTCTTAAGTAGATCACTTGGCTCGCAGCCTACATTACACGAGTCGCCGCTTTATCATATATCCTCTCCTCTCCCCCCCCCCCCCCCCCCAACCCACCATAACCCAATACCCCACCGTAACATCTCCTCCCCCCCTCCCCTTCACCCCACCGATCCCCTCACCCATCCCCCACCAACGAAACCCTCTATCCTTTCCGAGTCTACTCCCCTCCTCTCGCGACTATGTTTATTCCATTTAGGCGCTCGAGCAGTCGCGGTCTCATCATACGATTATTACTTTATCTCGCATCTTTTATGCATCAATGTAGACGCAAAACGAAAAATGCCTAAATGCTATTTAACAATGATATCAATTAAAAGACAGGGAGAGAGAGAGAGAGAGAGATAGAGAGAGATAGATAGATAGATAGATAGCTTGTTATCAGTAAAATTTAAAGAAAAATTAAGAAAACATTATGGCGGATTAAAGCGTTTTATGAATTCGAAGAATCGCTGATTATATGCCAATGACGGAGTAAAAGCCGCAGTCATATCCTACTTGCGCCGTACTTTTTATGATAACTTTGATTTCAACTTTCCTCGAATATAATGCCGACAATCTCGTTAAAGCGACCCACGTTTATTTTACATATAAATTACTAGAGAAGAAAAATAACGGTACATTTACGAACGTTTTCCAAGCTGTCCTAATTTTATTTATGTTAACGTTGTTAAAGGGACATTATTCAGAATACGTTACACAAGCTTATTTCATTTAATACGGCGCGTTCCTACTTCATGCACTTATGCACGTTCAGCTAAAGTCAGCTCAAATGAATTTGCCAATTTTGTAATTATTAAACAATTTGACTCGCTACGATAGTGTATCGATCGTCGATCTTGAGTTACAATTTCTCTTCTGGCTTTTCCTTGCCCGTATATCTAGAAATGGTAAGATACCTGTCAATTTTCATTACGTATACAACGACCCGACATTGCAACACATTCCACCACGAACTGCCGATGCTTATTCTTTGGAAATGAGAATTGGTATTGGAAGGACCTCTCGCAATACTCATGCTTATGCGTGTTATGCTTTTTTTCAAACAATCGCCAGTCGAGTTTCCTCTCGCACATGGTCCATCTCGGCATATTCGCTCGCACTAAAACTCGTAATTATAAAGAGAGCTAAATCATTTCTTTTCATTTCTCTCTCTCTCTCTCTCTTTTTCTCTCTCTGTCTCTCGTCTCTCTCTCTCTCTCTCTCTCGTTCTATCTCTCTCGTCTCTCTCTCTCGTCTCTCTCTCTCGTCTCGTCTCTCTCTCTCTCTCTTTATTTAACGACATTTTAGCACTTTCTCCCCTTAAACGCACGATAATTACTCCTCCAACTGCATTATCATTCTGTACGGAGAAAATGAGGTTAATTAGTCGAGGCCGAAAAAAAGTCTAGCTGCGTTTACTATTGGCCCGGGCCTCCTCGTACTGCCCAGCTTTCCTTGACCTTCCCTTGCCGGCATCCCCCTCTCTATCGCGGCCACCCATCGCGCTACCACGTCCATATGGACGAGACCGCTACATCGCTCACGGGCTTCTTTCCCGCGCCGCTTTTTTCTTCTTCTTTTTTTTTTCTTTAATATCGGGGCACGTGTCCTGGCGCCTCTTTATTCTTCATCTCCCTTCGGCCTTATAGAAAGTAGAGCGAGTCGTGTAACACGTGCGACACTATATGCCCGAAGCTTTATATTCTCAAAATGGGCTAAATCGCTCGCCGTTCTTTGACTTTTCAACGAATTTACTCCTGTCGTTCGCCTGAATATCTTTGTTGTCGAGTTGTCGAGACTGTCGTATTGACGGAGAGGCTCGACTGTATACTCGAGTCCGTTGCGATATCTCTTGTCGCGAAAATTGCTGCAACGAGCTCACATCAATACCAGCCAAACGAATGGAAATAATCTTAATTTGAAAGTGTCAATGAGCAAAAATTTACGTAACATCCGAATCTAATAACGGATAATAAAAGTACAACGTAGTATACACGTAGAGAATGTATGCGACGAAGACAAGAACAATAAATAAATAACTAAAAAACAAAAACAAAAATGACAAAACAAAACAAAACAGAAAAAATTCCATGTGTTTTTAATCGATGAAATGAGTATCGTTGACTTACAAAAATTGCGAATAATTTGTATTACACAGGTGTGTGGTAAGTTTCATCATGTGTAATTCGAATTTTAATGTGAAAGACATTTTTGCTACATCCTTTATTCGGCAATCTACTTTATGTTATTCAATCTCGCGCATTATTTGCAAGTAAAGTAGATAAAAAGACATATTTATATTGTTATAATTTAAATTGCATGTGCCATACTTCCAATTGATTTGCATTTATTTCATTTATTTTACATAATTATTTTAACATTGCACACAAATCTATCGATACAAAATCGATGAAACTTTTATTAAAAATAACAATATTAATACCAAGATTATTTTTTACATTTTTTTTTTTTTAATGGAAAATTCTACACACACGCGCGCGCACACACGCGCACACACAGAGATAGATAGATAGATAGATATCTGGGTAAGTAATGTAAATTCGCGAATTTTTCATTTTGTATATTATATTTACAAGTTTCCTCTTTAATGTAGAATGTCGTTTGAAAGTCGAAGATTATTTTACTTAGTAATAATCTACACTTATAATAGGGCTAGGTGAAATGACTTTTCTTTTCTGAATTTCAAACGACTTTTAATAAAAAATTATGAAACTTCTTTTTAATATCTTTCTCGACTCTATCCTATTATACATCAAAGTTCAGATTTCAAAGCGCATCTGGTAAAATACGTAAATTATTATTGGTTAAGTTTTCAATAGGCATAGAATATTATGTATTATTACTCTAGCCAAACTTATTATTATTATTATTATTATTTATTTATTATTTTTTTTTTCATATTTCATTTGTTAATAGTTACGCTCATTTTTTTGTCTATTTAACGAAAGGTCTCGCATTAAAAGTATTGAAATTATTCTTAACGCCTTGTTCCTTAACGAATTAGCAATCACAGAGACTTAATTGCATTCTTAAGTTTTGATAATTATTTGACAAGACTTCGATGAAATTCAATAGCGACTTATAGAGCATCGAACGTTAAGAATTATGCTGGGTAACGCTGGATCTTGAATTGCATTCGAAATTCCTCTTTGCACATGCTCCCGCAACTAAAGTCTGACAAAAATCCCATACACGAATAGCCAATCAACTCGTAGATAAAAGCACAGACACATATAAAGAATCGCCTTCGTTTCATTTGTTCACAGGATGCGCGAGTACGTGGAAGAGAACGAGAAGAGCGACCCGCTAATTCACGCACCCGATAAGAAGAATAATCCCTGGGCCGAAAAGGGCAAGTGCGTGATTATGTAATTCGATAAAAGAGAGCTCGGCGATGCGCAAGACGAACTGATATTTTTGGGAGGTTGTGCGCGTCGTAACGGGCCAAGGACAACTCGGCCAAGTTCCGCGTTGATTAGAGTGACATAGGAGCCGACGATGGGTCGAGGTTTCGGCGTTTATTTGTGCTTTTGGGGGGTGTGATGGAGGAGCCTCTCCTGGCATGGCTTAGTCGGGCAATTGTCGGGAGTTCGAAGGAACTCCCGCGAGTTTATGCGAGAGAGTTGGGGAGTGGGAGGTGGATGGGATGGGACGGATGGGGATTGCGAAACGTTAACCTAGGAACCAAAGATTCGACTATCAGCTTTCGATTTTCTTTCAAGCGATTTTCCCGTTACGTTTCAACTTGACGACGCGCGAATGTCATTTGTTACGCAGCTTAGGCGTATGGTAATTCGACGATTCGAAGTAAAAACGAAGCGAAGAAGACGTGCCAAAAGGGATATAATAATTGAAACGGAATGATGATCATACGTCGGGGAGCCATTCGTTTCTCACTAGACGATGGTAATTAGTGGACTGGTGGACATAATAATGAGAAGAATTGAAAAGCGTCGATGCTGCGTGGCTTTGTACTTCGAGAACGAAAAGTTCCACTTTTTGTCATCGTCAATTTTTCACCGTCAACTTTCCGAGCAAGAGCTTCGATAATATAGATTTGTCACTCCTTCGTCCCTTATTCTTCTTTCAATATTTCTTTCTAGCCTCATTCTATCAACATTATTATTATTATTATTATTATTATTATTATTATTATTATTATTATTATTATTATTATTATTATTATTATTATTATTATTATTATTATTATTATTATTATTATTATTATTATTATTATTATTATTATTATTATTATTATTATTATTATTATTATTATTATTATTATTATTATTATTATTATTATTATTATTATTATTATTATTATTATTATTATTATTATTATTATTATTATTATTATTATTATTATTATTATTATTATTATTATTATTATTATTATTATTAAAGAACTCAATGTGACAATGGGGCATAATTTTATTAAGGGATCTCATTCGGATCGATGAACAACGGCAATGAAAAAGGTTTCTAATATCTCAGATACATAAGACGCAGATTATTAGAAACCTTTGAGTGATTTTTAACTTTTAAGTATTATACAAAGTTCTTCGATGCGAATTGCGAGCAATTGATTTATATATATGAAAAGCGACGTCTTTAAAGTTTTTTGTTTTTGTTTTTTTGTTTTTGGTTGTTGTTTAGGCTGCAGTTGCGCCAATGAATTATATATTAATACCCATATTTTCTTAGCTTAATTTAGTCGTTACCATTAATAACAATTACGTTATTGTTCTTAAATGAATTATAAATATTGTATTGCGTGCATCATTGTATCGAGATATTCAGCTGCGCTATAATAAGAAACAAAAACAAATGAAAGAAATTAAAGAGTTAAAGTCGTATGCGCGCTTAAAATAATATACGACATTTTTCTCATTATTATTCAAATTTACACTTGTATTATTCGTATAAGTCGATAAGTCGTAATTATTACAAATATAAAACGCGAGCGGTTTCTTACAAAAATACAATATCGTACATTTAAAGCTGTGCAGTGTGTACCTGTATTTAATTTACTTTTTCCAACATGTTTACATCACACACACACACACACACACACACACACACAAACACACACACACAAACACACACACGCGCGCGCGCTCGCTCACATATACGCGATCATACACGCACCATCCTATCCGCATGCGCATACATTTACGCATTCGTGGACACACTTACGCACGCGCGCACACATGTTCGCCCCCACGCACGTACACATACTCACCCACGACAAATCCAACCACCCGTTTACCAATCCACTCACCAATCTACACGTGCGTGCCGCACGCTCCCACACACGCATCCACACACGCGCACGCACGCACGCACGCACGCACGCACGCACGCACGCACGCACGCACACACACGCACGCACACACACACACACACACACACAGAGAGACTAACACACACGACGCGACGCAACGTGCTCAATAAATGCACCCGTTCATTCGCAGTTAGGCGTCTTTGTGAGGTTGGACCACAACCGTAATATTGATAATACAGTGCTCAGCGATGAGCAATTACGTCTGACTACTTGCCTACTATTTCTACTACTAATCGAGCAAAAGGAGTTATTGTAGATCTCGATCTCTCTGTACCTATGTCAAAGGCATCTACGTAAAGATGAGTACATGGGATGCGTTGAGCTGAATTGAGAAATGACTTTACTTACATCTTAGCGTTTCACTTCAAGTATCGTACAGTTTATACTTGAATCGTGACATTAAGAGCGTTTTTTTATTTTTTTTTTTAAACAAACGTAATACTAGGTAATTAAGGTGGTGAAAGTATTGTCAGGAATTTTATTTAATCTTTGTCAGAGTTCTCGATTTATCGAAAATACAATATTACCTATCCGAGTATTTTTCATTATTTTTCATCATTAGAAAATCAGGATTGTATCGATTTAACGAATGAATCTCCATTTCACGCGCATGAATAATAATAATATTTGTATAAAATTGATCAAGACTTGAAAAATCTTAGATGCCTTAAAATCAATTAGATTTATTTGTGTAATAAAAAAACAATCAAGGAATATTGAGGGCAAAGTTCTTACAGTCATTATCGGGCAAAAAGTTGTAAAAAATTTCGGGTTTAATTTTGAAAAAATTATCCCGCGATATTGTTCATTAATTCCTTCTAAATTGCCGATACAATTTAGCAAATATTTAAACAATTGCATTGCACTAATTTCAAATATTAAAGGCAATCCATGACAAAGTATTTCACTTCACCTTAAATGTAATAACAACTGCCATTTATGAATACCATTTAAATCAAGTAAATTTAGATTTCTTTTTTGAGCTCAACATTGAAGTTAATTCATTGTAATTTTATATTAAATTCCCTAATTCACCTTTTTGTCGACCATTTAAATTAATCGTTAGAAATAATAGTGTCGGCCATTACATTGCTTAACAAATGTAGCAAATGCAATTCAAAAAAAAAAAAAAAAAAAAAAAAAAAAAAAAAAATAGAGAAAAAAAAATCACAATACCTAAATTTAGTAGTCGTATGAAATATTTTATTTAAAATTATTCTTATATATATATATATATACATATATATGAAAATGATTTGAAATTTACAAATTAATTACGAATATTTTAATCACATCTCTCGAAGTAGTTATTGAATTAAACTGAAATTGAATTTAAAAAAAAGAAAAAGAAAAAAAAAATGTAATTGAACGACTGAATAAAATGAAAATTTTTTAAGAACAAAGTATTTGTAATCCTTAAATTGTTAGCTTATATAAAATAAAATTTTAACGTATGTTTAATTAAAAGCACTCGCAATGTATTGGAAATGATACTAACGAGTCATTAAGTGTTTTGAAGTAGTTAATGATCATTTTAGATAAGAAGCAATTATCTTGTTGTTAGAACAAGTTACGATAAAAATTAATTCACACCTATAATTTTTTATTATATGCCGATGTCCATTATGTATTTAAATGGAATATATTTTGGACGTAAATTGAAAATAAAAAAATCACAGATGTAACTTTTCAGTATCTTTTAATGGATTATTAATAAATATAATTTTATTCGATATAAAATTGTCACTCGAGAATACATTTTCCCATGTAGTTGTGTTGAAATTTACTAGTCATTCACGAACGTATCAAGCTAATGCTCTTGTTAACTGCAATAAAATAGTTGATGATACAAAGATACACAGATATACAGTTATATATATATAGGAAGAGAGAGAGAGAGAGACAGAGAGAGAGAGAGAGAGAGAGAAAAGGTAAGCCATTATTTGATATATATTCTTGTTGATGCATGTTGTAATTAGTTTTAAAAATGTACAAATTAGTGAATTGTATAGTTAATGTTTTTTTTTTTTTTTAAGTTAAAGCCAATCAAATTATAAAGACCGTTATTATAAAATAATATCTTATTTATAATAGACGACGTGATGTTTTTAGTCGCCAGTATTAATTGATCCGTTGCAGCACCTTAGACTATTGTTTACATAAATTATAACGTATGTAGTGGCGATCTATCAACGACATACTGTAATATAGTTAATAGTCTCTCTCAAATAATCTTTCATAATCCTTTGTAATGCAACTATATTTTACTACATTATTTTACTATAAAATTTTCATATTGTGATAATGGCCGTTATGGATCATCGAAGCAGTCGAGCTTTCGATTAATCTCGAACATGGACTTATCAGTATGAAATAATGTGCCATTGATTATCCATGGACATGGATAATTGAACAACTGAGGTAATAGCGAGAAAATACAATCATCGGCAAGAATTATCGCGCCATTTCTCTTACCGCTTGTCGTACATTATAACATCTCCCGTTGTCCCAGTCACCATCCCTTCCTCCGACATCCGTCAAGTATAGGTTTTTTTTTTTTTTTTTACACACATTAACAACCGCTTTACAGCGGCTACTAATATTTGTAGGAACTCGTGCTCGTTCAGCGGCGAGAACGCATTTAAGCATTTGGCGAGGACCGAAAGTAGCCGCGCCTGCGTTTCGAGTGGGAGGAAGAAAAAAAATTGAAGGAAAAAAGACAAAGTACGGGAATTGGCCGAGCAGGTCGTGTGTAGTGGTGAGTGGTGGCGATGATGGCGATGGTAGTGATAGGGCAACCATCGGGACAAGCAACGGCAGCAATAGTTGCTGTAATAGTAGTAGTCGTAAGAATAATTTCAAGACGTACGCATATCCTTTTCTCAGCAGGCGAATTCTAACCGGGCGCTCGCACCATGCGATTGGCGTTTTCACTCTCGCGTTCCCATTTACCTCGGCGGCGATTGGTCGGCTCGGTCTCTCTCTCTTTTACGAGCGGCGGCCGCGCAGCCGCACACGGCATAGCGGTGTCGCCACTATAGTTAAAATGAAAGGCGCTTAATTGTTGTCTATAACATAGCCGTGGCTGGGTGACGGGCGGGGAGGGGGGTTGGGCGGGGGGTGTCGATGGTAGCGGTGGTGGTGGTGGGTGGTGATGGTGGCGATGGTGGCGATGGTGGCGATGGTGGCGATGGTG